TCTACAGACATCGAATTGGGAATTTATGACTTATTATCTACTCAATATCAGCCGGGATTTTTAATACCAGATGGTGTTGCACCGAAATTTTAATGCTGGTACATGGGTCATTAAATGCTAACGCTCCTTCGTTTCCAATGACTGCCTGCAGGAAACCACACCATCTATCTCCCAGAGCCTTTTCGAAATTCCAGATGGTAAGGCGAGAGCGCACACCGACAAAAACAGCGCTGCAATTCCCCGTTTAACCTGAGGATGTTAGATGGGCGCTCATCTCATAAAGATGAAGCTGTTGCCAATTGTAGACGAGAGTAGAGAGACGAAAGCCTTGAGGGCATAAGACAAACGCCTTCGGGCCAATCAAGACTCGTGAAATTCACGCATGCGATCAGGAAGTACAATGAGTTGTCGTGAAACGCCGAACTGTAATTTATGAAGCAAACTGCATACAGTAGGTAACGAATAAACAACCAAAATGCAAGTGTGCAGTAGCGAGAAAAGAGCTTACAAAAGAGAAGGCAGCCCTAGAAGTCTGCGCTGTCAATGTACAATCAGGGCTCGTAGTCGCCTTGTGGGGCACATCTGTGTCTACTACCACGACAACAGAAACAGTAGCATTTAACTTATGGCGAGGAAGACCTTTAATAAAAGGAAAACCACATAGGATGCATTATTTCCACTCATTGAACATCTTCCCACAGCGTGGCCTGCTCCTTCGGAGTTTGCGATTTCAATGGGTGATGGAGTACGGGTGGATCTGCTGTGAAACTTGTATCACCGAGCGCTGTCGCTAAAAATACGGACTTCATCACGCTAACATTTTCAATTAAGCCACACTCGAATTATATTCAGCAAGAATTCGATCGCCCATTAGCATTTACAACCGCCAGATAGCATGAGCAGCAACGGTCCTACAGTTACAAACGTCGAAAACAACTACATCACAAAACTATTCCACTTAAACAGCCTACACAGCCTACTCATTCGTGTTATTATTGGGTAGGACAAACAGCTATCGTTCAGGCAACAATAAACAGAGTAAATACCTCTTCTTGGCCACGGCGTATTCTCTCGAAAGACTGGAATTGTTGGATATTAACATTAATCTTCTCATTCACTCGCATCAACTCATCAAGCGCGGTCTCCTTCTCCTCAGTGCTTCCTAACTTCGGATCCATACTGTCGCTGAGAGGTCCGACGTAGGATTTCAGTCTTCCTTGAAGGCCATCAAGGCGGTCAGCAGTGGCCTACAAGGTAATACAGGAATTCGTCACGAAAACTTACTGACACATACAAAAGATAAGGGGCAAATGGTGATTTTTGCATGCTGGCTTGTGCCTGAGGCACAAGGCCTCATGTGTTTGCGTAGTTATTGCTCTGTGACAACTAATTTAAGATTAAATAGATCGCTCAATTTGATTTTCTCTCAAACAGGTAAAATTTCAGCAGAAACTGCTAGTGCTACTGGTCATGCTAATGAAGAATCCCCGACGGACTTCGAAACGTCAGAAGAATAAAAGCCTTTTCTCAGCGATTGCATCTTCTTTTTCTCAGTTTAAACTGCACCATCTGACCGATTGCTTGAAGACAGTAAAAATGGCCGTTCGATTTGCTTACTTCCCGCTATGTAGCAGACTGTAGGAGAATTTTCAAGCTACATCCGTTTTATCTAACCCAAATGGACATCAGAGGATCATCGACCTAAATTTTACAAGGACTGCACAACGGATGGTCATGCTTGGCTAGATCACTCAAGATACTTCCAGCCACCTTTAACAGTCTTACCTACATAAAAATTGAACACGGTACGTAGGTGACAGATGGTCCTGTAAAGTAACAATTTCCTGTGGATTTTGGCCGCTCTTCTGGTCGGTTCGAATTCTTCCTCGTCAGTAGTGCCTTTCAATTATGACATCGCTCATTGGGACTACAGGTACCTACATGCATGCAAGTCTGCATGCAACCCCCTGCCCATTCACACTCTGTATGCAGTACTTTAATTGTTGGGATTCATATGACTAAAAATCTGAACTGCGCTATGAGTGACAAGCCGTTGCTATGCAAAGTCATTCATTTACAAATCTTCCGAATGATGAGATACAGTTGGGTGAGCTGATCATCAAAGATAATACCTGTCCCCTTGAATGGCCAGTTACGTAACCGTCCACCCCCTCACCCTTATTGTCCATCCATGTTCAGAATATGCATAAGCCGCTACTTACATGTAACTGTCTCAGTGTAACATCATCTGGTTGAGTGCGGGCCAAATCTTGAACTTGAGCCTCAAAGGCGGGGAGATCAAGTGCTGCCTGATCCAGATCACGACGAATTGCCTTCATGAGCTGTGCGGTTCTTGCATTCGAAGCAGTGGGTACTTGGACCAATCCTGAAACCTTGCTAGTTCGAGAAAGTTGAAGCTAGATGGAAAGAAAAAGTGGCTCATTGGAAACAAAGATCAACAGGGAGCCTTATATTTTGCCTCACAGGACTAGGACATACTCCTTTAACACAGTCATAAATAAACAAAATCTAGGGACAAGATCGTTATGGTTCTTACCAATAATCGCAATAGAACCACCTCACTGAAATTTGCCTTAACTTACCGTACGCTTAAGTAAGTCTACGTCATTTTCTTTGATGTCAGGGAATTGTACTCCACTGCTAAGGAGTTCGCGGTACAGATCACTGATCGGCCGAAATTCTTCATAATCTGAAAAGGCCAGCATCCAGGTCTAGGAAATGAATAAAACTGGAAACTGTGCGCATGCCTTAATAAGGATAAGGAGCTCAGTTTGGATTGCATCAGCACTTTTTCCACGACTGATAAGTTTTTGCAATCTTTTCAAATAGTCTCCTTTGCAAAGTTCACTTGTAAATCGGCAACCACAGTTTTTCACGCACATGTCTAATAAAGACATTGTAAAGGCCGCTGCTTTTGGGTTCTTTGCTGCGGACTTCTCCAGCTGGTAAACCAAGACAGACATAGCAATCGGCGGCCCGTCCTTTCTCCGGTTTATATGATCGCAGATTTCTAAGCAGACTGCTTGGTCAAGCTGACTGAAATTTGAATTGGTTACTGCCTCTAGAATGAAAAAGCAAACCCATTATTAAATATAATTTTATGCAACGCCGTATACATATAGGCAAGGATCAAGTGTATTCAGGCGACTCAAAGTCTACATAGCTCAGAATGCACACGTGAGTTCTTTACTATAACTTCAGAGTGCGTCTCCACCTTATATGTTGAACAGCCGGACATGGTTTCAAGTTGAAGCGTACATAAGAATATTTTGATGTGCATAAAAACGGACTGTTTGTGCTTGACAGATGACTGCACAAAAGACCGAGACAGGAACGTCCCTTGTAATTTTACCGGGCAGTCGTACTTCGATACTTCGAAAGTCATTGACGGGAGTCTTGAAGTGTAAGATTAAAATATCAACTCAGCCTAAAGTAATCAAAAGGGCGATCGCGGCAGCACCTGCATGTCAGACATTCTGTCCGCTCGTAGAATCATAAAATATGGATAAAAATTGAACCGGAAAATTATATTACCAACAGATACCATCGGTTACTACGTCATGCCTCTAATAAAATAAGCTCAAAATACCTTATATGAAGCAAACAAAAAACTGTCTTCCTAATCTCACTGAGACATTTAGTTTTATTTTCGCCTTCCTTTTGTGTGCAGGTATTCCTGGCCTCTCAAAATATCCCCGCTCCTTCTTCACTTAAACGAAGCGAGTTTACAAAAATACTAAGAATTTAAATTCTTAGTATTTTTGTAAACAATTGTTTGTACTCGACATCTTTAATGGCGATTACAGGTAACGAAGTTTGAAATTCGCCTTAGCTTGTTCTCCTGTTAGGTGAAGATCAACTTATGCTATAAAAGTTTGTTTAAGCTAGTTCCTCTAATTTCTTTTTCAAATCAGAATTCATCAATGCTAAGCCGAACTTATCAATAACCACCGTGAACTCCCATTCCATCCCTGATCTCCAAAAATATTATAAGGGCATCATCCACTTCCTCCTATAACCGTTTACAGCCCGTGCTTATTATAGTTCCAAGATACTAGTAATGCTTATACTTTCTGCTCTGTTGCAACTTTTATTTCTCATCATGGAATACTGCTCGACTTCAGAAACGCTGAAAAATACCGAAATATTTTTAACGATACTTCCCTTCTTTTAGTATGACCGACTAAAATAGTATATCTGCTTAGATGACTTTGAGTAGTCGCCTGTTTTGTAGAGGCTTGTGGAAAGCGTTATTTATTGGAAAAAATTGTACCCATATCTTTATAACTGTTTCCCTATGAGGTTTATTTTTTCTTAAAAAGGTCCAATTTGTGATATTTAAAATAAAAATAAATGGTGAATAGCTTACCGATTTCTTGAGCTAGTGGATCACGTCTATATGCAAGATTTCCGAAAAAATTTTTTGTACCTGCGAACATTATCGTTGGTTTTCACGTCTTCCTGCCACCTGTATTGTGCGAATAGGATGGCATGAACGACCGGAGGCATAAAATAACCATATATTCAGGAGCATAGAAATACTGGGTAATATGATTTTCGTCTGCTATAGTCTGTGTGGGGATATAAAACCAAAGTCGAACACTAGTGATTGTTGAAAGTTCAGACAGAACAGCTAAGAGACAGGCAAACCAGAGCTGTAGAAAAATGTGCAGCCTCACTTAATTTTAGCAGGTTAGACACGCAAAAATTTCGAAAGTAAAGGGAAGAGGGCAGTGGAATAGAGGAAAAAACTAACAAGAGGCCAAGATTCGGGAAGTAAAAGTTGTCAGAAAGAAGAAATCGTTACATCATGTTTTCACTTATGTGCATATGTACATTAGTGAAAACGTGGATTAATCTAAGAGTAGCATAGAAAAATATCGATATAGCATGCCATCCCCTGATAGCAATGCCCTGGAGCCTTTGGTTCCTGTGCTGCTTGGATGCAGCGCTGGGCGGTATTTCGTGCGGCGATTGGGAGAGATTACAACCCGTTTTAACCTACACCTATCAGGTCACAATTGGGGTAACCCCTCATTGGCCTAGGTGAGACCTAGCAGAACGCTAGGACATTGCTATCAGGGTCGTCAAGAGGCTGCACGATAAACATTCCAAACAGTATTACTGAGTACTTATACACTAGGCTACACTTCTGCCTTCAAAGATAGCGCTATCTTTGAAGGCGCAATATTGGTGAAATGTTAAATAAGTAATTACATGCTACTTTACTTACTTCATTAGCGTATAACGACATGGAAACTTAAAATGGTTAAATAGAAAGTACGTAACTCTACTATGTTTCTTAAACGTTTACAACGTTAACATGTGATCACATGTATTTATACATATCACATGCTACAAATAAATCCCTCTAGAAGGATGCTATAAAACGAATAAAAATTAGACAATTTTAAATAAGAAATGTGTCAAATATTTTAGGCAGGATTATGGGAATAAGAAACACGTGCAAATAAGGGAGAAATCCTTCATCTTCAATCCGTAGTCTTCCTAGTAAGGAATGAATTAAAAACTTGCTCGAGTGGCAAATTAGTTAAACAAGATGCTGAGGTATGCTCATAAGAATTCGGATCCGGTTTTTAATTGACAAACGATTCGTTAAATATAAATTCACCCTAATACCAAGAGATAATTCACGTCAGCATTATATCGCTAGATAGATTACTTCGGACATCAGTTCTCTGCTTTACAATATTACCGTTCCCCGTATTTCAAAATCTGCTTAATGGTATGCCTCAACTGAAAGAGGTATTTACCGTTCGCGCAGCCTTTCAGATAGGAGTGGTTAGGTGGACAATCCGAAAATCGGAAAATAACATATTGTATCATCTACAGAGCGGTTTATACCCCCCGCGTAATCCACCTAAAAGAACTTAAGAAGAATTCGGTGTTCCTTGCGGCGTAGTGAGGCAGAATAAATTTAAAATCTCGTGCTGTTTTGAGAATAAAGCCCTTTATTCGCATTCTTTGAGTTTTGTATTCACGAAAAGAGGCGAAATTCCTATCTGTAATCGATTTCGACACGGCTTTCCCTGTGGCCGCCGGAGAAAAAAACTTCCCCAGACCCAAATGTCTTATGGGACCGTAGTTAAGGAGGAATAAAGGGTTCGGGATGCGCAGCAGGCATTAGAGTGTGTGGTTACTCAATACGTAGACTTATTTTGTGACGCCGCTCGAGGATATTCTACTCAATTGAACGGAACTGCACTAAGAAAAAAGATTATATGAAAGAAAAACGGATTAATTAAGGATACAGTACAAAAACTTCACCCAAACGTCTCCCATTGGCAAGAATAGTCAAGTACCTAAATGGTCAAGGCCTGGCAAAAACGAAAGCGATCCAACATGAACGGCATCCGACCAGAAGCCGGAAAAGTTGGTGAATGGTAGCCCTAAATTTGCAAGGTGCGAACGCAGTTTCGGTTTATTGAAGCCTCGAAGTCAAAACGAACGGGCATGGAAAAGCGGACAAAGCCCCTCATTTCTGTGCAAATCGCTAATGAAATCAAATAATACTAAGGGCATTCCGGGAACAAAGAATTTTCTTGATGCCTATTTTAACTGATATGGCGAGGTTAATTGACGCGACGACATAGGGAAAAGTTCATCGCTAGTCTTGTGTTCTATGTATGCCCATTCAGTACATTTCCAAGAGTCTCACCGGCCCAGGACCGATGACTTAGACGTTAATTTCAAACTGTTAGGGTCAGCGGTGGGAGACATTGTATACTAAAACCCAATTGCTTTTTGCAGTCCAGCATCTGTGAGCACTAAGCCGTGTGAAGCGTCCCGGTGGCAATGCCGAAATTTTCAGTACTGGCCGAAATTCATAGGAGGTAGTGTTTTACTATTGGTCATCGGAAGGCACCCGGGGATAGGGTGGGCACTATATAGAACGTAGTGTGGGTCAGCTGCGCAACAATTTCGGTATTTTTTACTATCTACTTACGTCTTCTATTGCTTTTATTAATATGTTTTGGGAGGAATCAGACTCAAGAAGAAGAAGCCGAATGAATTCATATGGGGACATGATTTTACGCGAACTCGATGAAAAACCTAATAAAATTTAGAGGCCTGAAGGGTCCTCGTTTAGTGTGTCAGAAATTAGCAAGTTAATGTCTAAATAGACAGCTGAAGAAACAGAGAGGTTGTGGCCGATTAGTACTGTATTGTATTATGTTTCAGAAGCCTCCGTTGCCCCAAAGAATGCTGAAATCGACATTGCAGTTTTCATTGAAACTATGAAAAACGTATATATTCATAAGATGCTTGAAAGGGCCTTTTGATGAAATACAGCGCACTAACATGACATTCGGCATGTATTCGGACAGTTGATGGCTGACATGCCGACCAATCTAAGAAACCTTCGGGGGCGCCTGTCTCTCTGTGTAGTGTCGAATACATACATGTTGTTTTGGAAAAGCCTTCATGGCCTGCTAAACAAAGGGAGTGTGTATGTATACGAAGGTTAACTGTAACTGCGCAGAAAGACCTTCATTGCTGAAGTCGTACAAGGACGACCTTGACAGCACTCCTTGAAGTGTTACCTTGTCCGAATCGTTCACCAGGTACGTCTGCATTTACCTAGATAAATTTTGCCTCGTAAGTGAAATTATTGAGAGCTTGTAGAAGGATAATTGCTGTCCTTCCGCGTACGCGAACAGTGCTCATATACCCCACAGACGCACAGTTCCCATATTGAGTGATTTGCGTGTACTAAAGCGACGGAATTGACATAAGGATAGGATGTAGAGACTGCAGTGACATTTCCCTTTTGCTTTGCGATTACGGACGGTATTATGGCTAGTTATAAGCCCAGCAGACGATTCCGACTTCAATGTATATCACCTATTAATTCGTCCATCCGGTCAAGGACAGTCATCGCCGGTAAGTTATGCAAAATATAATGACCACTAAATGGTAGCAACTAATTGAGCATAATTTCGGCGTCAGTGCTGTTAGGAGGGGCCCAACGGCTAGCATGGAAGCAGCAAGTATCCGCGCCCATAATCGGCTATCGATCGGCCTATGCGCGAGCTAACACATCGCGCTAGACAATCAATCAATAATTTGAATATTTGGCTACATTCACTCAGTGAGCCAAACAGCCAATAGACTGACCACTACCTCAGAAGAGAATGTGATTGGCTCAAGGGACATCGTTGAAATACGTTTGTTTACCTAAATTTGTTGTACTTGGAACACTAAAATTCTTCTGCCATTGCACCCTTCTTGTCGTGTTCTCTCTTTTGGGGCTCACATGAGGCGTAATTAGACGGCGAATATTTTGGCCTGGGTTCCTTTACAACATCTGGCGAGGCATTGCGCCGTAATATCTCGGGCTGGGCCTCCGTTATAATAAGTGCC